TTTTGGTCTTTTTAAGACAAGGTCTCCCTATAGCCCCAGCTGGCCTGGAACTCACTATGTAGACCAGGCTGGTCTTGAACTCACAGAGATCCACCTGCCTCTGCCTCTGCCTCTGGAGTGCTGGGATTAAAGGTGTGCATCACTACACCCGGCTCTTTTTCCCTTTTTTAAATTTTGAGAGCATCTCACTACCAGGTCAGGTTGACCTCAGATTTACTGTGTAACCCAGGCTGGCTTAGACCTTGTGGCACTCTTCCTAAGTAGTTAGGATTCCAAATCCTGTGCCACCAGGCCTGACTTCTGTTTCTTTCTTTCTTTCTTTTTGAAGAATCTTAAGGAGTTTATTGGACTTGCTATTGGACTTTTTGACAGGGTGTCCCTGTAGCCCTAGCTGTTCTGGAACTCACTATGTAGACCAGACTGGCCTTGAACTCACAGAGCTCCATCTTCCTTGGCCTCCCGTGTGCTGGGATTAAAGGCGAGCGCACCAGCTCTGCCTTCTGTTTCCTTTTTATCTCTTACTCTTCAGTACTTTCACATGACCTCAGCTTCTGTTTTGTGCACCTGTTCACCTGTGGTTTGATCTCAGAGCAAATCTTCCTGTGCTTCTCATCCTTAGCATCTTCAAAATTGAAATGGTGTGATAATATTCCCTACCTCATAAATTTGCAAAAAGGATTTGATGAAGTGACATTATAAAGTGGTACCTAACTGTGCCCAGAGAAGTTCCTTAAAAGGCAGGAAACCCTACTTTCTAGAAGGGAAAATGATTTCTTTCTTATGTTCTCCCCTCAGGCCTGGACTGAGCTCACAAGCTCAATGTTACAAGAGTCTTTCGTGCTTAATAGAAAGCTCCAGTATTTAGTCTACCAACTCTAGTTTCACCTTGAAATGATAAGACTTGAAAGGTCAACTTGTTTGTGAACTACAAGTACTAGGATAAGACAGAAAAAGCAACAGCCTTGTACTTGCTGACTGTGAGAACATGTTCAAGGTACCAAAACTTTGCCTCATGTGGCAAAATGATATTGAACTAATATTATTTAGATAGAGAGAGTCTTAGAGTACATAAATTCATCAGTAATTGGCTGCTGTTCCTGATGCTCTTGGAGGAGGAGCAGTGAAGACCAGGGCCTACTTCCCAGGCAAATTGGAACAGGTCTGTGCAAGGAGGGGTAGGTGGGCATTGTGAGGGAATTACCTTTGAGAGTTAAAGGGCACATAGTGAATCCTACTGGTCCAAGAAACCCAGATCCTTTGGCATTTTTTTCTAGATTAGCCATCCTTGGTAGACACCCCCCCCCAACAGGGTCCTCTTATATTGCCTCTGTCACCTGTCGAATTCATTCCAAGGGAGACCACCGGCCCATGGGAGTGTCTTCATTCTAGGTTCAGTAATAGGGTGGCAGTAGCCGGATGACTGGTGCTGCTTTCAAAGAGGTTTTTATGTTGGTGGATGCAAAAAAAAATAAATAAATAAATTCTTCTATAAGACCTTGTAAGAGTTCCATCCACAGGGCTGGAGAGATGGCTCAGCAGTGAAGAACACTGGCTGTTCTTGCAGAAGACCCGGGTTCGAATCCAAGCACCCACATGGCAGCTAACAACTGTCTGTAACTCCAGTCCCAGGGAATCAGACAGCCTCTTCTGACCTCCATGGGCATTGCACGACACGGGTGCACTTACCTACATGCAGGCAATACACGCATACACATAAAATTAAAATAATAATAATAATAAAAGAGTTCCATCCACATCATCAGTGTATGTAGGACAGAGAACCCAAAGGAGGATCTCAGCCAGCTGTGTCCTCAGTAGCCAGCGGAATACCAGCTTCCCTAGGATGAGCTGCATGTGCTCCCTGCAAGGCCATGCCCATCCCGGCTCATTCACCCATCATAGGGTTGCAGCCTAAGCCCCGAGGTCATCCTTCATACTCCCCTTCATACTGATGCCTTCTGCTTCCCTAATATGACCCAGCTCCCTGCTCTCCCTGACTCTTCCTCTGTCTCTCCTGTAACTTGGACTTTTCTCTTGGAAAATTCCCCTTATTCATAGCCTCTTTTCTGAACTTCTCTTTCTTCCTCTGTACATCTGTACAAACCATGATTCTCCCTAGGGCACAGCTTCCTCCAAGGCTTCCTCCAAAGCTATTTTTGCTTGGGCATTGTGGGAATGACTTTTCTGGGAATACCTGCTGTCTTATCTAACCTTGTGATCAAAGTTACTCTTATGTTTTGAGATCATTTAACACTGTTCAATCTACCTTCCTACTATGCAATCAACTTAATAAAATCCAGCTAGCCTCTAGGAAAACAATGTAAACAGTTTTTACTAGGCCTTGGGCTCCCCATGTAATCAACTTTTACAAGCTAAGCTAAACACATAGCTTTAATGTTAAACTATGTTCCCTATTTTTTCCTCATGAGCCTTCCTTGCCTTTGGCCCAGAATAATTCTGTGTGTGTGTGTGTGTGTGTGTGTGTGTGTGTGTGTGTGTTGCAAAAATATTGCTGAAAGCAATAAATTATCCACAGTATATATTGCAAACAACCCGTGGGCTTAGGTTGATAATATCTGTTTTTAGCTTTGCATGCTGTTCTATGTCTGAAAAGGAAAATTCCTTGATAAAACAAAATTCATCATTCCTTTCCCATATCATGCAACAGTACACGTGTGGAGGTCAGAGGACCACTCTTGGGAATCAGTACTTCCTGCCTCTTATAGAATCCAGGGACTGAATTAGCACACAAACACCTCTGCCCACTGAGGCATCTTGCCGGCCTCTCAGTGATTCTTAATAAGAACAAACTAAACAGATGACTTTATTGCAAGATTTATCTAACTTCTATTATTAGTGTGAAACATTACTTTCCTAGAAGAGAAAGCAAATAAATTATCTGCAAATTCATTTAACAGAATGCTTTTTGCACAGAACACCTTATAAAACTAATATTCCAAAGTTCACAATTTGGAGAAAACATATTAATGCATTCTCCAGTATTTTCTGATAAATTTGCTTCATTCTCATTAATCAAATGGGTAGAAACCATTGTAGCTATACTTTCTAATTTGCATAACATGTTTAATTCCACTTGATCGCCAATGGAACATGTAGTTGCTGTATTCGCTATGCAAATAGTGAATATTCACATATTCACAGCTAACTAAAATTTCTTTATCTCAGGCCTCTTGTTAGTAGCAAAAACTGAAGTGAACACATTCTTACTTTTGCTTTTCAATTTGGAGCTCCTCCTCCTGAGCTCTGCACCACTCTTCTTTAAGGCTGATGACTTGATCACAAGATAAAGGTGGAGAAATGTAAGTTGCATCGACCTGCAGATCATCAAAGCATGGCTTCCTGAGGGCATAGGAGTCTTCGCAGCAGTGGCCTACTCTGGCATTGACAGGCTCGGCGCTATGTCTTCTGCACAAAGCTCCAAGAATTAGTTTTGCCTTTCCCAGAAGAGAATTCAAATAAGTCATGTTATGTTCACTTCTTTATAGAAAATGAAATTATATTTACACATTCTCAAATTCCAGTTTCTTCTAGCGCTACCAAGATTTCACTTTTGGGACAAACAGAAGGCCAACTATAGACTGAGTTCCAGCCTGTGCCCCTCTGCCTGTACCTTCAGGCTGAGGTGCACTTCAACCCGTCTCTGGGTTTCTTCCTCCGTTAGCTGATAGACCAACCTCAACTTGAAACGATAACTCTTTAGACCCACCCCCCAACACCATGAATTCAGCATCAAGCCTCAACCCAACCCTACTACCTATGTGGCTCAAATGTACAGCTGGTTGTGGCCGTTCTTAAGAAGCTTGAACCCAATGTCTTCCAATATTTTATAACTGAACCCCTGCAACCAACTGCACAACTGGTGTGGTAATGCTCTATGTTTGCTGAATGAATAATGAGAGAAACCCTTGGATCTTCTTCCAGCTATCTCCCTTATTTTCTCATCCCCCTTTAGAGCTGTCATCCTGACTTGCTTGCAGTTTTGTGCCTAGGTGCCCTAACGCTGTCCACAAGCCTGTATGTGTGCTTCTGTGGGTACACTGACCACCCAAAACCTCATCACTTATGTATATGAGGATGAAGTAATTCAAACCAGTCAACACCAACATTTAATATACAATTTTATAACCACTTTCAAAGTAACCAAGATTTTCCTCAAAGCAAGGCTTTAGGAATAAATGCATCTAATCAAATGAGTTCCCTGTGGTAGGCATGGTTCCGTAATAAAAGGTTTAAAAGTTTAAAAAGGAAGGCATAGCTAGATAATAACTTTTCAATTTATAACTCAGATAACTATGTTTTATTAGAGGAAAGACCCAGTCAGCATTAAAGGATGTGATCTGCATAGGGCAAAGGAAACTATCACCAACAAGAACTCAGCAGTGTGTAGCCCATGCTCCTTGACAGACCTAGATGCTAAATTTCTGAGGTTTGAGCTCCTGTTGTCCAGGGACAGTCTCCATGGTAAGGAAGGAATGACTTACTGTACTTCATGATACCCTGAAGGAGATGTCGCTCAAGGCCGTCCCTGCCTTCCTTCCATCTCATTTCCACTAACAGCCTTTTTAAGTGCATCCAGTCATCCCTGCCACTGTTGTTCCTTGTGAATGAGCGAGCACACTCAGGTTCTAACACATCAAACACTCAGGAGTGCCACCAGCAACAGTCTAAAATCAACAGTAGCTTTAAAATTGCTGGCAAAATCAATTTTGTCAACTTGAAACTCAAGCTGTAGACCCTGTGATGTGATCCAGGGAAAAGCCTGGTGAATCTAACAGCCACAAGTCAGGAGGCTGCAGTCTTCCCCTGCAGTTAGCATAGGCTGCCCTGCAAGACTTTCTCCTGGGAATTATTAGCCCCCGTTGACGGCTTATAAATGTGTCCTCAGAAGTACGGTTCGTTGCTGGGGACTGGAGAGCAGAACTTCCAGAGTGGGCAGAGCAGTCACTGGTATGCTTACCGAGTCCTCGATGCAGGCAAACTGCTGCTCATCCCTTAGAGGGCAGCATCTGCTCGCAGCAGCAGCCATCTTCCTCGTGAGCACCACCAACTCTTGTGCAGACAGTTGTGGAGCTTTCTTAGTATAAAGGACTATGAGCCTGAAAGAATAATTTCTTCTTATTCTTGACAATGGGTGCATGTCCAAATACCAGTTCTACAGAGTTGCCCACAGTAGCCAACATCATCTCTGATGTAGGAGGAACAAGGCTTTCAACTAGGCTTTGTTATAGCCTTCCAGTCTTGTCCTGATGCCTCAGTGATTAACTGGATACACCTGGCATTATCACCCACTCATGCCCTGATCCACTGTAACCCATCTTTATTGGACTTATCAGGGATACTGTAACAACTGAACAGGGTGGTTGAAAAATCAGACCCAAGTAAAAAGCTTGAAATAAACAGCCACAAAGTTTCTATGGATCTGCCATGTGTGTAATAGGAGCTACGGCATCCATGAGGAAGTGACTCCTGTTCTCCAGGGCCACACACCCTAGTGAGTGAGGCAGAAGAGAGCTATGTGTGGACAGTACAGAGTGCTACAGGTACTATGAGGTTAAGTATGGGATTAAAAACAAGAGGCTTAACTCTCCTGTTGAAAATAAGAAAAGGAATGACCTTTCCCTCCATATTTCTTAGAGCATTTCTTCAAGAAAACATCATAAGCATTCTCTTCTCTTTGCAGTGCATACATTTTTTTTAAAAAAAATAGATATTCCTTTTTACCAACTTTATGATCCAGAAATACCTTTTTGAGGGCCCAGGAGCTAGGGACACAGGTAACTCCCCTTTCTCCAAGGTTCTATAGGAAGATAAGAACGTAACTTAGAGAAAGAACCTTGTTCCAAGTTACAGAAATATCTCCTTGCTTAAAGATGTATGGGCTTTTGTTACTGTTGTTGCTGTTTGGTGTGGGGTGTTATTTTTAGTCTCTGGATACAACTACGTCGTTAACACAAATAAGGTAAATGACCAGGTAAAGCTAGCATGAACTATGTATGACAGGTGGAACTGAATTGTCAAATGCTCTTGCAGACTAGTTGTTGTCCAGAATGGGTTCATTAGTTATCGTGTATAATGGTTGTGTCTACTTGTGTTCAGACAGTATGATCTTTACATTTGCACTCTCTTAGCAGACATCCTGCATCACATTCTAGTTTAATGTTCATTAATTTAAAAAAAACTAATTTGTTTCTTTACTACCTTGGCAGATTTTTTAAAAATTATATTTCCATAATTGTGCATTAAAGATGACATCTCTTCCCATCCCAGAGAAACCATGCAAGCCATTCACAGGCAAGGACTTCTGTGGGAGAAATGACAATGCCTCTGAATGAGCCTGGTGAAGGACAGTGGGATTGGAGGGAAGGATTTAGGAAGTCACTGACCAGTTTTGTTTGGAGGGGGGCAGCACTTGGATATAAAATCAGATTTACATCGTTTTAAGGCAATGGTTTCTTTATAAAGAAAGTCGTGGGGATGAGTGTGAGGCAAAACAAGGGACGAAAGAATTCTAAGGCCATTCTGGCAATTTAAGTAAGAGAAATTGACCTGAATTAGGAGAGTCATGGTTGGAATTGAGAGACATGAGGAGAAAGACTAAAGACATAAAGACATAAAGAGAAAGACTATGGAGCTAGGTGTTAAAGACAGCAGTTGTTAGAATTAATTAACGCATCATAGTAGAAATGCATCCAATGAGGCAGACCCCTAATCAAGGGCTATCAGAATGAACTGGTCTCAGCATCTTTAAGTACTTGTTAGAAACACAGCTCACTGGATCGTAAGCTCTGGGTGTGTGTGTGGGGGGGGGGTCTGTGTTTTAATGTCTTCTGAAGAATTTTATAGCATCTAACATTTAAGAACCACAAATCTAATTTTTATACTGGGCATTAGCAACTGAGCACAACATAAAAGAAAAGTAACAAGCCAAAACTTCTGCTTAAATGAGCCAGAATACTTTGTGATCCATTATTCTGGACATTTAATTTAAGCTCAGTGTTAGGAGATACTGTATCAAACTGAACTTTCTTTAATATCATGCTTCTAAATAGATTATTACATTAAGACCTTTGAGATTTCTAAAGTGGCTTTGACTTTTTGATGACTTAATCTTTGATTATACAATAGGATTTTCTAGGCTCTTTATACCCAAGGAGGCATGCATGTTGGCAAATAACCAAGGTTATCTATCCCTACACTTGGTTATAAAAATACAAAATTTGCCTGATGACCTTGACTTGTAAGAGACAAAGGGACCCTGGATGTCTATTGAAACTTTGATTCCAAGTCACAAGTAAAGCCCCAAAGTAAGTAGACAGGCATGAGATTTCAGGATGACCTGACCTGTTTCACTTCCCAGTGGCATCCCCAATACATCTAATCACAGAAAGGTATTCTGGCTCATTTCCATGGAAGCTTTGTCTTACTACTTTTCTTTTATGTTGTGTTCAGTTGCTAATGTCATTGGAGAAAGCAGGGTGGAAGCTCCCAACATTATGTAAGCATCTGTCTTATCAGCACAGAGGGTGAGGTTACTATTGAAGTGATTTTTTTTTTTCATCTCAGATATGTAAAGTTTGCTGCAACCTCTTAGCAACTCTCAGCATCAGGAGTTAACCAAGTCACCAACAAGAATAAATCTGAGCAATATCTTGGACACATACCTGTCATGGAAGTTACTGCCTCCCAATTTCTCATGTAAATCACAGTGAGTTTTTACACGGTCATGGCTTTCACGTACCACTCCTCGGAATATCTCTTTCTGAAAAATAGACATTATTAGTGTTTACGTAAGGTGACAACAATATATGTTGAAGGAGATTGCAAAAGCATTTTGTCTAATAGTTTAATATAAATATTTTCTTAAGCCCAGGGTTTTACTCATTTAGTGAGTTCACAAACCACTAAACTCATGTTTTGTAGTGAATAATGAAACAGCAAAACAGATATTTACCACAACATAAACTCATCTGTGGGCCTAAATGCCAAATTCTATAAGCACAAGGCAAATCATTCATCAAGCTGAAAAGAGAAATGTAGAGAGAGTTTAAAGGTTTATCTGATTGGTCAGTGCGTGTGTGTGTGTGTGTGTGTGTGTGTGTGTGTGCTTATATGTGTGCCCACTTGTAAATTTCATAATTAATGGAAACAAGTAAACATAGGTATGTAGGTATAGAAATATAGGTGTGTGTTAAGTCACGGTTCAATAAAATCTATAGCAGTTGTGAATATAAAGCATGACACAAATACACATTGAAATGAACTAAATGGGATTTTCAGGGCTAATGGCAAATCAAAGAGCTTTAACCATGAGAGTAGATTCCAGTGAGAAAGTACTAGTACCCTTGCAGGCTTAACTCTTTGGTCAGAGCACATCAGATGATATGTGTTAAGTAAGCAAACCTTATCCTAACAAGTAGTGCTTGTTATAGAGAAAAATCTTTCAGTTGCAAGTAGTTGTCTAGGATGTTATTCTTACTCCTGTCTTTATTGCCTATGCAACATTAGGCAAACTGTTTAAGCCTTCTGAAGTTCAGTCTTATCTACAAAATGCACTTACAACGGCAGCATTGGCTGTCTTCCCCCTCACTGAGAGATCCCATAATGCTGTTATAAGGCTGCTTAGTAAACTCTGCACACCCATGCTCCTACATGGTGCTACAGTGAAGATTATCTTAGAAGCCTAACAGTGATGTTTTGAGGGTACTCTCCTACGGGAGACTGAGGCACCCTTGTATAGCCTTTTTTCTGCTAACAGAGAAATGCCAGATGGCCTACTTGACCCCAGACAAGAAAAGACAAGCCTTGCTCTTTGTTCTGGCTTTTCAATCCTGCCCACAGTCCAATTAGAATAACAAAAGCCAAACACACCCAGGCCTTGGTGATACTGGGATAACTATCACCAGTCAAGAAGTTTGCAGGGATATCAGCTTTTTCATAACAATGCATAACAAGAGCTATGGTCAGATTTCTGTCTTGAAAGTGAAACATGTCCAAGTTTGCTTGAAGTGGGGCCTCTCATACCCAAACAGACTGGCTGCTACGCTATTGTGCCAAGCAGGAATCTGCATTAACTTAAAAAAGGAGACAGCAGAGCTTTCAGGAAACAGAGCCTATAAGCCTAGAGGTCACCATCATAAGTGTGATGATTTGACCTTGGCTTAGCAATTAGTAGGGATATGTAAAAATCATTTCATAAAAGTACGGCACTGCTAACAGCACTGTAATTTTTGCTGTTTGCAGTCACTTACAAGAAATACCTTACAAAAATAACACAGGAATTTACCCCACTGCTATGGCATTCCAAAGGGTTTTCTAATTTGCAGCACTTCTCCAATAAATTTTCATATGCTGTATACACTCTTAAAATTACTGGAACTGCCAACTCTGGGCGTCTTCTTGAATATTCGTAAAGAAACCTGTGTCAAATAAAACATGATGGACAACAAAGATTAAAGCCCAGAGACCCTGAGTTTCCTTTCAAAATGCAACGATGACCATAAAGTTTAACTGACTTTAAGGCATTTGAAACCCTTGAGAAGCTGTTAGAGGGACTTGATTGTAATGTTTTGAGATAAAGAAAGGAATCGATAAAATTACACATTTAATATTAGTGAATGGCAGATCAAGGACTTGAACCTGAAATTTATCAGCTAGTTAGTAGTTTCTGGCTCAGATTCTAGTTACTTTTACTTGAGATCAATTTCAAGCTTTTGTGTAGGAAGACGTGTTTCCCACTTAGCTTTGGGGCTTTTTTTTCCAAAGAAAGTACTTTCTTTGAATGTGCTTTTGAGGTAGTAAATCACCATCTCCCCCTCTTTTCCAGATAAGCCTCAAAGTGTGAGTAGTCCATGTCTAAACTACAAATTCATCTGGGTCACAAGAAAGAAATAAAATGATTCTAGACTGTTTTTAGAACACAGAATTATAATGAGACCCTTGATGTTTTCTTGTCTACTGCCTCAGTTTACAGTTAGCATACCACTGCCTGGGGAAATCAAGTGACTCCATCTCCCTGCACAGCTTATGCATGTCAAAGCTAATGGAGCTCAGGTTCCTCCAACTCCCAGTTCTGTGCACTAGGTCTAGTCAACACAGGTCTGTTAGGTTTTCATTACAAATTCAAGTTTATATAAAGGTTGATTCAGATAGCAGTATTCACTTTTATTAGCCAGTATCAAACACAATTTTGGAAATGCAAGTAAGGTCAGTTAACCTTGAAGAAAACTCAGTTCTCACTGCATAAAGTGATTTTGGAAACATTTTAATCACACAGTGATATTTTCTTACTATTATATATTAAAATCAGTTTGCTGTATACAAATTAACATGCATTTCATTAACATGCATTTAAAACTCAGAGACCATGAGTCTCCTTTCAAAATGCAACAATGACCATGAAATTTAATTCAACCCAACTCTTTAATGTCTAACTCTTGTATGCATTTGATAGTGTGCATTAAATTAATTGGAATAAAACTGCTAGCCAGGTATACTATTCTGAACCTCTTATTCACCTCTAAGTCCCTCAGAGCAATGCTTGTAAGCATTTGATTATCACTGTGATCTCTAAAAAAAAAAAAAAATCTTATATTGGTAGTCAACATTTGAAAATAAAGGGATTTCTAGCTTATCTTTAATGCAGTGGCTCCAACCATCTGAACCCACATTCCCATGTGACAATGAAAAACTACTGACAACTTCAGACTCCACAAAGCATCTCCTCTTGGCCCTAGTGTGCCCTTGGCCTCCCAGTTCTGTCCCTGGCCCTGTTGCATTCAGGTTCACAACATCTCAATGAATTCATAATCATATAGTGCGTCACTAAGAAAAAGCTGCATTACTCTTGGAGAAAGTCATCTTGCTTGTCAGTGAATTGTTTGCATACAGATGGGTCTTCTGTAAACCTTCTGAGTGGCAAAGATGAAAGGTCAGGTTTGTCATCATTTTCCGAGTTGATAATACATTCCCCTCGGAATGGCTCTGGCTGTTCACAGCACTGAGAAATCTTGCTCGATAAGATAGCCTGGTGAGAGCAGGTGTAGTTCATAAGCTGGCTCTAAGGAACGTGAAAGGGAGTGGTTATTCTTAGATTACTTCATTCTGAATTTCTTTCCTTTTTATTAGTAGAAAACCAGAGGAAAACTTAGTACCATATACTAATTCATCCTAGGCAAACTGAAAGATCCAAAGGGCTATTTATTGTAACTCATTTTAGAAAAGAAATACATGTTTATTTGACTCTACTTAAGTGTCTCAAGCTTTATTTAGCTATTAAGAACACATGACAAAATAGATTGCATTAATGCTTCCAACTGTAGTCTAAAAAGTATAATTGAAGGGTTTTACTGTTTCTATTGTTCTTGTTATAGGATCCCAACCTGGGAAGCAATTTGTCTCTGAACCACATCAAACTCTATTACTGAGTATATTCTATATTACTATTATACTCATATATCTACTTATATACACAAATAACTGGATATCTGTGTGAATCAGCTAGTCTCTGCACATAAGGAACTTACAGTCTATGTGAGGAGTGAAATAATTAAAATCATCATATAACAGTGTAAGTTAGGTTCTTTGGAAGAAAAAAGAGAAATTGACAGTTCAAATGAGATGGAGGTCACAGTGATGACCTTTAATGAGCTGAATCATGATGGAAACTTAGAAGTTAATTTGAAATAAGTGAAGAAGAAAGGTGTTCTAGAAGTATTTGTTTATATATATTATATATATAAAATCTTAGAAGTAGGAATACCTGACATAGCTGGGAAATGGTACATGCAGAGGGCATTTGGAAGTTGTTGAGAAAAACAGTTGAGGCTCAGATTTTGGCCAAGAACTGGAACAATTTTAATAAAGGGAATGGGGAGAATCTGGAATTTGAGGGGAGCATGGGAAGCATAATTTGCTGAAATTAATGTTCAGGGACAGGAACAGACAAGAAACGTGGCTCAAAAAGGAAGCGAATGAGTTTCCTTAAGGTGTTCAGAGTTTAGACTGAGGCATCTGAGGCATTTACAGGTAGATTTTCCCTAAGCAGTAGAAGAATAAATTGAAAGTTCAGGAAAGAACATCACAAAAATATAAATCTACAAGACTGGAGAGATGGCTCAGCGGTTAAGAGCACTGGTCTTACAGAAGACCTGGATTCAATTCCCAGTGTCCACATACCAGCTAACAACCATCCAACCATCTGTAACTCCAGTTTCAGGGGAATCAGATGCCCTCTTCTGACCTCTGAGGGCATTGCATGACATGTGTGCATTTACATACAAACAATACACTCATACACATAAATAAATAAAAATAATAAATGAAATATTTTAAAAGTATAAATCTATGCGTGGTGTGTGGAAGCCAAATTATGGGGTCAGTTTGAGACTGTGAAAGAAACGTGCATGCTCTAGGTAACTAACAAGCATGTTCTCAGAGGCTCAGCAGAATCAAGTTTCTCTCTCAGGAGGACATGTCAGGAAGGAAAGGCAAATCTCCTCAGGCAGTAATTCCAGGAAGGAAGACCCAGGCTTTACTCTCTACCTGAGGCTTCAGGCCTTGCCTTCAGCATTAAAAGGCAGCCAGTTATTGGAGCAGGGTTATGGTTGGAGAGTAGGGACTGGAGACTGAAACATCAAGATAACAAAAGAAGATAGGAAGCGCTTTTCACCTTGCCTTTATCTAATGAACAAAGCATGCATGAGGAAAAGCCCATGATACACACATGTGGGAGAAGCAGGTGCCAAGTAAATGTGCTATTGAGGGGCATGCCCCTGGAGGCTCAATGCTTTTTAGAACTTTTTCCCTTAGCTCACTAACCCACTCCTACTCTCAGGAGTACTTTTCCTTTCTTAATAAACTGTCTCTATTTCTATTTCTAACCATGTGTCCCTGGTACAATTCTTTGCTCTGGGACACAAGAACCTGAACACTCTGACAGCTGCCCAGAACAGAAGTGTTGTGAGGATTAATTTTGCATTTTGGAAAGTAGATACATTCAGAGTTACAGAATTTGGGAACAACAAGCACAGGGATGGAAAAGCCACTCTATCGCCACCTGAATCTCAGAGGGTTTTTTTGTTGTTTGTTTCTGTTTTCTTTTGTTTTGCTTTTTTGAGACAGGGTCTCCCTATAGCCCCAGCTAGACTGGAACTTGCTATGTGGACCAGGATGGTCTCAACCTCACAGAGATCCACCTGCCTCTGTCTCTCCTGGGATTAAAGGTGTGTGCCATTTCAGACATTTTTGTATTCTGGGTTGGCATACGTGGTCATTTAGTGACAGAGTATATGGGCCCCGGTTGAGGGGGCTATGGAAGAGTGCCTCTAGGGACAGGGGTATAAAGATGATTAAGAGTGATTGAACTGTTCTGTATGAAATACACAAAAATTCAATTAAAAATGTTCTATATAAAAAAAGATGTATGCCACCATTCCCAGCCTGAATCTCAGTTTCAAGAACAAGTTCAAATCTTTCCAAAATACATACCCTAAAACTAATTTAAAAATTGTAGTGACTTCAAAAGGAAAAGAAATCAAACTTACTTTTTAGAAATTAGCATAAAGGAATACCAAAATCTGATAAAATATATAGCAAAATCAGTTATAGTTCAAATGAAAAAAATCTGAAAATATACACACAAACATCTCAAGTTCAGAGATATAGTAAAATGAGATTGTGAAGGTGATTAAAAATTAATTTTTAATTAATTTTTTATTCTTATTTTATGAATGAGTGTTATGCCTACATATATGTAAGTGCACCCATGTCATGCAAAACCCACAGAAGCCAGAAGAGGGTGTTGAATCCCTTGGAACTGGAGTTATGGACAGTTGTTAGCTGCCATGTGAGAGCTAGGACTTGAACCCGGGTCCTCTGTAAGAACAGCCAGTGCTCTTAATCACTGAACTATCTCTCTAGCCCCAAAGTGGTTAAAATTTAAGAAATCTTTTGTTTTTTATGTGTGCAAGTGATACATGTGTGGTGTGTGTGTGTATATGCATATTACTGTATGTGTGTGAGCACAGATGCAGGTGAGTCACCGTGCACATGTAGAGACCAGAGGACAATCTTGGGTGCCAGTCCTCACCATCCACCTGGTTTGAAGCAGGGTCTCTGTTATTCACCACTGTGTAAGCCAGGCTAGCTGGCCTGCAAGCTTCTGGGGGATTTTTCTGTCCCAACATCCCATTCTGGGCTTCTGGGGATTTGAACATCTGTCCTCACACTGGTATGCTGGTAAGTATCCACTAAGCCATCTCCCCAGCCCAAGAAATCTTTTTATAAAATTCATCAATTAATAAGTTAAAAATCAGAACTCAAATGATCATCCAAAGATAAGGAAAGAATACTCACATATCAGTATTCAGAATCCATCTTAAATAAAGTCAAACAAACAAAAGCTGTCTAAAACAGATTGAAAACTCTTTTGAGACATAAACACTATCTTTGGCAAGTCATTAACCCTAAAACTGTTTCCATTACACTTTTGACCAAGACAGGATTGCCAAAACAATTTACAGCTATTTAACTTGTTTATGAAATCTAGACAATATAATTAGATAAGTGCAAATTGTTTTGGCAGTATTGCAGCAGTCCACCCTGCAATTCAAGCAGTTCTAGAGTTACTGATTGAACATAGGTATTGTTTATGTGTTAAGGGCTTTTTGAAATTTTGTTTTGTTTTGTAATTGGAGTGGTTTCTACCAGAACTAGATTTCCTTTTATTTTTCTACCAAATTTATCTAATCTTCAATGGGAGAGGGTCTGCCAGCCTACCCTAAGAGCCAGCACTCTGGGGCATGGGGCTGAGCCATAGAGCCCTTGCTTGACAAGCATGAGGCCCTGGGTTCAATTCATAGAGCCAGCACCGCTAAGTATATGGGACAGCCTAGTTGTGACCTTGTCATTGATCACAGTTCTAGAAATGGGCAGTGGCAGCTGTTGCCATTCCTGAGTGTCAGAGCTGAATGGGTACACTCACCTGGGGTGTGTCAATTGCAATGGCTTCCAAAAGTCACTGTCCCCAACCCTCTGTCCCAGCAGAGCAGAAATTTGAAGATTTATAATCTAAAGGATTCTCCTGATTGCCTATTTAAACTGCCACTGCAATTCATATTTTCTAATCTGTCATGTGATGGGACCAAAATTGTGGGGGCAAGGGTCTTTGCAAAGGAGTCATGAATTTTCCCATGATATCATGCTGTTAGCCTGCCTTTGTTTTAGGATTTGTTGTTTTGTTTCATTTATTTCTTTCTTTGGTTATAACGAGAATTATTCAACTTTCAGACTGCAGAATGTGTAAGAACATGACTTGTGACCTAGTAAGGCTTAGGAGACTTCAACTGCTTCAGCTCCTTCCTTCCCCAGGATTTGGAGGGTTTGTATTTGGATATGGAGCAGGTCTTTGTCTGCGTGTTCATGTTCTATGTGCCTGACACCACATTTGTCCTTGATAGCTTTCCTTTCCCATGGGGCTGATCACAGATGCAACTCTAAGCCTTGTGCAAGAAGCAAAGGTGAAGGAAATATATTCCCAATTTGGAAGAAAGTTATAGACCAATTCTAAAAACTTAAAGAGTAAAGGAACAATTGGAAACAAGAGAAGAAAGAAGGTAGGAAAGTTGTTTCATGAATTGGGGACAGAGAGGCGGGAAATGATATTCTGGTAATGAGAAATGACCATTACTTTTTTAGCTTCATTATTTACCACTGAAACATTATTTAAGAATTTTAAACTGGGATTGGAGAGCTACTCAGTGGTTAAGAGCACTGGCTGTTCTTGCAGAAGATCCAGATTTGTTTCTGGTTCCCAGCACCCACATGGTGGCTAATAACCATCTGAAACTCCAGTTCCAGAGAGATCCAATGCCGCCTTCTGGCCTCTTCAGATATTGTGTGCATTTACATATACACAGGCAAAGCTCTCATATGCATAAAATAAAAATAAACAAATAAAAGAATTTTTTAAGAAAGAATTTTAAACTTTTTAAAGGATAAGGTGAATTTTAAGAGAAGGTCTTCAAGATGCTGAGAATAAGTAATGATTGAGGCTCAGCCCTAAGTAAGACATGGACACCACCCCTTCTAAGGCTCAGGGAACTCTGTGGAGAAGGCTGCAGCAAATAAGAACAAGAAAATGCCAGCCCCTAGGCAGACACAACTGCTGCAATCACAAAATCACAAGAGCTGTGGTTACTTGTACTAGGCCTACACAAGACTGACCTTGTCAGCAGTCAGTCATGGTGGGGAGGGGCTCATAGGGCCCTACCCCATACTAAAGGCTGTTGGTAGATTCTGGGAGCATGGCGTTATTGTCTTCTGTGGTGTTTACTATGCTATGCCACATTACAGTTATGCCTGAATAAAAACAGCCTGACTTTTAGCATCCATTCTTTTATTGAGAGAGTATATCTAGCATGAAATGGGGAGGCAAAAGACCAAACTTCAACAGAGAAGAATTTTGCCTGTTCTGATTCCTATTGACCTAGACCAGCAAGCACACAACCACAAACATTATCAATTTAATCCCTTCTATTTTTTGCAACACAAGTGGAATAAGCTTCAGATCTTCCTTGTTTCCAAGGAATAGCCTGCACTGGTCACAGAGCTTTCTTGAACATGTAAAACACACACACACACACACACACACACACACACACACACACACACATTATTATATTATTTTGGGTCCAAGGCATGGAAGGGTCATGATCTATATGTTTAGGTTACAAAAGGAGCTCAAGGCTCAGCGAACTTGTCGACATTATAAACAAGCTTAGATAAGATTCTCTTTTGATTGTAAAGTTAAGTAAAGCTATCTGTACAGAGCATGTCCATATTGTAGAAGTCATGCCTACAGTCTTCATTGTTTACCTATTATCAAAGGATAGCTTCCATCCCACAGTCTCACAGACAGCCTTGCTTAAACTAGGAGGTTGAAAAATAAAACAAATGGCATGAATTTGAGGAAAAGATTCATAGGGTTGGAGGGGTAGACAGGGATGGGAGGAGATGATAGCAATCAGCATAAATTATATTCATGTATGAAACTGCCAAAGAATAAATTTAATTAATTAAAAATGGTTTTAAAATGACAAATAGAGAAGAGCGGGTCCTACCCTGCCCAGTACACATGCTGCTGTGTTTCCTTCACAGCAGGTTTCATGCAGATTTTTAATCTCTGTGGTCAATTTGGAAATTTCAGAAAAATTAGCTTTAGGTTGTTTTTTCGTGAGCAGAACCAATTCTCTGTAAAGAAAAAGAAGTGCATTTTAAACAGTATTTTGTTCAAGCAACCAAAGACATAAAATACATTTATAAGTGTGAAGAGGGAACATTATAAATGTGTTATTTCTTCACTGAGAGTACCCAGAGCCACACAAAGATCAAATCTCAATAACAAATAATTCAAAACATCAAATATGGTAATTTTCATCATTTAAGCATCTGTTCAAAAAGCTGAGTTAGAGCCCCACATAGTGGCATACACCTTTAATCCCAGCACTCAAGAGGCAGAGGCAAGCAGATCTCTGTAAGTTCTAGGCCAGCTGGGGCTACAAGGAGACCCTGTCAAAAAAACAGAAAAAAAATCTCTGAAGTTTCTCTGGAAATAGTGAGAATGTTCCAGCTGTCTGAAGAAAATAGAGCTTCCAGAACACTCAGTGATATACACTAGGGAAAAAGGCCATATAAGAAAGACATGTATTTTTAGAGGTCAGCCTGGAGAGAATGCATTAAAATCTCCACCACCCACGCAAGCAGTACTTGTTCTTTCTATTCTACATGGTTCAAGAGAAAAGAGGATATTTCATCTCTAGCCTTTACCATAAAGGAAGATTCATTAAGTTTCTGCATATTTTTTCAATTAAACAGATACTCATATAACAGATCCTCCAGGCTGGCCTTGAACTCACTATGTAGCCTAGGATGACCTTGAATTCTTGATCCTCCTGAATCAGCCTCCCAAAGGATGGAATTACAGGCAATGTGCCACCATGCCCAGTCAAATCCCTGCATCTTTTTTTTTTTTTTTTTTTTTAAGATTTATTCTTTATTTATGTGCGTATGTGGGGGTGGGCTGGGGGAGGTTTGGAGATGAATGTAGGAATGTGCGCATGTGAGTTCAGGAGCCCAGAGTCCACAAGAGGGCTTTGGATACCCTGAAGCAGGAGCCCCAGACTGTTGTTAGCTGTCTAATGTGGCTGTTGGGAACTGAACTCAAGTTTCTACAAGAGCAGTAGATTTGCTTAACTGCTGAACCATGTCTCCAGCCCTAAGTCCCTGCATCTTAATGTCCAAAATCTGTCATGCATTGAGGGATTTGAACAGATGGGTAAATTGAGGCAGGATATGACAGCATGGCTGAGAACTGTGTGATTTCATTCACAGCCCTAAGTGCCTTTTGTGACCAGATAAGCAGCATGTATACAGAGACAGAGAAAGAATTCAGGCTTGTATTGACAAACATTGTTAAATAATGGGTAAAGGACTTCAAAGCAGTTTAGTCAAAACAGCTGACCTAACAGCAACAAAGCCCAGATAACTTACACTGCTTTTGCTACCTTGTGGTTGAATTTAATCCCAATTTCACATAAATGATGATGCCTCACAGATATTTCTCTAATATATTTTCTGATGGGTTCTAGCTGTAAACAACAAAAACACAGCTCATCAAAGAATTATGGTAGTAACAGAAAATTTGATTGTATCATTAGTAAAAGAAAGAAAAGTAAAACATTTTTATCTCCTCAAATTAGAATGTCTCCCACTGACAGATTTAAGAGAGGCTAAATGCAAAGGCATTGCATGGTGCTTTTTTTTTTGCAAAAATAGTGTCTCACTTCACCAGAGATCATGTCATTTAACCTCATAAAGTCTAAAGAGCCACCAGAATAAACTAAAAATTGCCCAACAGCTGCATTTTCCTTCATCCAAGTTATTAATGCTTTCATGTTGGACATGTCTTGAACTACTTAGCTAAATTAGATGTTTCTATTCTATAATATGTATTAAGTTCTTCACCTCCAAGCGTTCATTCTCCTTAATCCTCAATTTCTATTTTTAAAATTTTCTCAAATAGGTATTTCCAAATAAAACACAAAAAGAAGTTTATCCATGTTTTGTTATGAGAGAAAACTATGAAGGCAGACAAGATGATTCAAGAGCAGAGTGACAGTTGTGTAATGATGTATTATTTTAAGAAAATTTATATTTACATTTATAATTAAAAATACGTGTCTTTAAATCGCTAAAACTTTCTCTCAGGACACCAGGTATGGTGGTGCATGCCTTTAATCCCAGCCCTCGAAAGGCAGAGGCAGGCAGATCTCTGTGAGAGTGAGACCAACGTAGGTCTAGCGAGACCCTATCAAAAACCAAAACAGCAACAACAACTCTAAGGGTGATCATAATAATGTATGAAATAATCTCAATACAAAAATCAGTAGAAGAAAATATAAATCATTATCTCTATATGACAGCAGCATAAGCAAGTCTTAAAATTTTCTGAATAGCTGTATATCTTCATTTAAAACATTGTATTTACTATATATTGCTTATTTATTAAAATGAAAATTTCAAAAAAATCAGAAAATGTATATAAAGGTGATATTCAAACCAGAAAACTTGTATAATTAGAATAATTTTACTTAATAAGTATTATTAAAAACTACTTGATACTAGGTTATAATTATAAATTCTTTTTATTATCCTTTTTGTTATATATTACACTCATCCCAAATGAAATACAAACATCTGTTTTCATAAGTGTCTCTAATGCTTTAAGTCATAATCCCATGTTCTGATCATGGGAGTTTATATAACTGATTATGTAATTTTCTCTGAGTGTAGAGTGAGAGCCACTACGAACAGACATCACAGCAACACTGTGAACATCACAGTGAAGAGGAGAGGAAACCTCTTAGCGTCTTACTACATCTGGTTATATTTAACAACACAGGGGTATGTTGCACATTTAGGGAAATTTTCTGCTGAAGATAGTTACTATGAAGAAAACTTTGAATGGTAGAAAAATTAAGTACAAGTTACCCACAACACTGACCCCAGGGTTGGGGGCCTTCTTTTGGAAATGCTGGGCAAAGAAATACATGCCTCAGGTTTCAGGCTTCAATGGAAATAAAGCCAAAATGAAAGAGAAATGATTGCTTTGCTTAGGAATGGAGATTAGGCTTCTGAAGGAGCCAGAATTCACCAGGGTCATAATGGAGGGGGAAGCAAGAAATATCCACAAACAGCTTTAGCAAAGGTAGCTACAATCACAGAGTACTTAGCCTCTGGCAGAATCTTTTTAGATGCATTCTTTTTTAAAAAATTTATTTACAAGGAGAGGTTCAGTAGGAGAAAGAGATAAAATTCAGCTACTCTGCTGGTCCATAACCCATAGTTGCCATAGCAAGGCCCTAAATGAGGCATAGAGAAAATGAGATAGCTTCTCCCTGAGATCAGTGAAGGCAAAAACACCTGTGTTTACACTAAGATATTCACCAGAATTATTATCAAACTGGCATTAGTTTCTAACATGACATTTAGAAACTTTGCCTGGTATCCCTGTCAGTAAAATAAACACGATTATATTATATCAATATTTAGAATCTTTTTAAATATTTAGAAACTTTAATGAGCATACAAAAAAAAATGCTTTTATCCTGGAACTAATCACTGGTTTTCATCCAACCAATGAGATACAAAAAGCTGTACCATCTCCTATCCCACGTTCTTCTTACAAGGAGACTCTGGTATTCATGACCTCATTAAGAAATAAAGTGTATGAAGTATCCTTTAAAAGTGGTGAAGTCTTAGCATTGTTTCAATGAACAGAGCATGGCAAGTGACCTGTGAGGCTACATTACAAATGGCCACACATCCTTCTCTTTATCCACTACAAGACTCCTGTTTGGAGCCTTGGGCTACATGCAAGTGAACCCAACTGCCCTCTGGCTTGTAGGCTGTGAAGCAGCCCAACTAGTCCAGGCAAAGACATTACATGCACACACTTGAGACTGTACAAGAAGAAAGAAATCTTGCACCAGTACTCAAGGGGCTTCAGCTCCCTCTGAGTCCTAGACCCAGAAGTTATCTGACTGTAATTACATGAAAGTTCTTGAACCATAAATTCCCAGGAAGCTACTTTTTCAATTTCTGACCCACAGAAGTTTACGCTAATAAAATAACTACCATTGTTTTACATGACTAAAATTTATTTTGTTATGAAGAAACAATAACTGCAATATTTAAATATTTGTTTTGAAGTAATGTTTATACTAGATTAAACTTCTAAAATTTTAGGACTATGTACCTTGGCATCTTTTTTAAAAAATATTTTATTTATTATTTTTATTTTATGTGTTTGTGTGTATTGCCTGCATGTAGGTAAGTGCACCGTGTCATGCAATGCCCACAGAGGACAGAAGAGGCCGTCACATCCCCTGGAACTAGAGTTATGGACAGTTGTTAGCTGCCATGTGGGTGCTGGGATTCGAACCTGGGTCTTCTGCAAGAACAGCCGGTGTTCTTCACTGCTGAACCATCTCTCCAGCCCCAACATCTTTTATTTTAATGAAAGTTATTTAATAGCTATGGAGAAGAGTTTCAGATTTTGCATTTCTAACAAGCTGCCAGGTGCCGGCTGCTGGTCCACAGTTGCTGTAGCAAGGTTCTAACTGACAATGGAGATATACACACAATACCTTTATCTGCAGGCATTCAGTCTTATTTTCTTCTTGGCAACATGACTGAACAGTTGTTTCATAGCAAGCAGACATGGTCAAAATCGTGGGTCCATATAAGAATGGGTGTCTTCTAGAAGTTTCATAACTGTACCTGTAATTCAACATGTACATAGTTGTATGATTTGGAATCCAAGAACATATGCTAACACCATTTCCTTTAAAAAGAAGTGTTCATTCATTTTTGTGAAATTCTTGTGACCAGGATTAGGTAGTACCTTGTTTAAAGCATCAGATGCTCACTATGAACAGATTACTGGGAACACATTATTGAAGTGACCATGGCAGGTGGAGGAAAATGTAATAAAAAAAATATCTCCCACCTTCTTATTTTTATCTTTTTTACTTATGTATTTATTTTTATTTATGTGTTTTGCCTGCATGTATATGAAGGCACCCATGTGTGCACTGCTGAGAAGGCCAGAAGAGGACATCAGATCCTCTGGAACTGGAGTTACGGGCAGTTAGTTGTTAGCTGCTATGTGAGTGCTGAGAACCTAATCCAGGTCCTCTGTAAGAATAACCAGTGCTCTTAACTGCTGAGTCATCTCTTCAATCTCTATTTCTTATTTAATATTATATTTAATACATATGTTATAAACAGAATTTTGGGGTTTTGGAGACAGGGTCTCCCTGTAGCCTCAGGTGGCCTGGAACTTGTTATGTAGACCAGGCTGGACTTGATCTCATAGAGATTCACTTGCCTCTGCCTCCCAGGTGCTGGGATTAAAGGAGTGCACCACCATGCCCAGCTCTCTCCACTTCTTTTTATAGAGAGTAAGAGGTAGAAAGTTCAATGTCTATGCTGTGTTGCATGTGCAGGATTGTACAATTGGTGCAGGGGACTTAAGTACGGAAGTATTGGTGTGTGGTCAGAAGACTCTCAATACCACTCAGAAGTTCTTTCTAGACTAAGAAAGTCAATGTAATTGTCCCCTAAGACCTGTCATCCAGTATTTTGGTTTGTTACTAAATTCTCTGAAACTATGTTTCCTTATAATAATCTCTAGAGCTTGTTCAAAACTACTACTGCACACATGGATATGCATGCAACAAAAGTCATCACTATAGACTGAACTTATATATTCATACAAAGTCATTTTCTGTTCCTATGTATGCAGGAAGAATATTTTTCCAGCCTCCCTATGTTAAGTTGGCAGTTCTGATCAATAAAACATGAATGGACATAGGTGATAGGAAGGGAAAAGGGGAATAATGGGAAGGAACGTTTAAGTGGAGAGAGGGATATCAGGATAGAACAGAGGAGGGGTGGATGAGGGAAAACTGACACTAAAGATGTTAGAAAAAGCCATATAGAAGCCCACTATTTTATAAACCTACAATTCATACAAAAGAGTTTAATTGGACTCACCATGCATAAGGGTTTATGCTCATTCCAGAAGCCACAGGTTGTCAAATAAAAAGTTCAGTACCAGGTATAAATACCTCCCCTTGAGTTGTTGGTCAACAGCATCCTGAGAGTCCCAAAATAGCATAAGCTATTGCCATTACTCTTGATTGTCCTCTAGAACTTGATGGTTAAGACCCTATTGCTGAAGGCACAACACAGATTGGTCACAGGACATGAAGAAATCAAGTTGGTGCTGACCAGGAAGCTCTCTTCCTCCTGACTAGCTTTCATAGTACCAGAAGGGGCTATGCAGGCTACTGGGAGTAGGCAGTCATCAACAGTCTTACCCAGCTGTGAAATATAGTAATGACCTGCATGGTAAGTTATGCCCATGGGTACAATACTGTCACAAATGTTACAAGGGTAACCAACCACTTTATGATGAGATTTAAAGCTCACCCACAAGAGGAAATACATGTCAAGTACCATAAATCTAGCCAAGCACTTATGGCCGTGGAGCTCACAGGCCCCAGGGGTGAACTTACTACTATTATTCTGCTAAATGGATACAGTATCAAACTGCCCTTTAAATTCATACCTCTCTACCCATAGATTAGTACAGCTCTCAGACTTCATCAGAGAAGTTTCTTTGTGTGGTGGACAGTAGTTAACTAACAAACAGTCAACATGGAGAGAATAAGTGTTAATGGTTAATGGAGTGCCCACCCACAAATAGGACAGCTGTATCACACCCTCCCCTTCCCTCACAAGGTTTAGAGATCTTCACAGAAATGGTGGCAAAAGAGCCAGAGGTCATGGAGGACCCGAGTGAAACAGTGTCTTCTGGGCATGACAGGACCACTGCGCTCATCAACTCACAGCAGCTGTGGTTGCCTGAAAAGGAGTTGCACAAGATCAAGCCAGTCAGCACTCTAGTATGGAGGGGAAAGGAGTTCACGAGCCTCTCCCCTAACTGAGGAGCTGTGGAGAGTTGATTTCCAGGGAGAGTCAGTTTTCTTTAAGGGTGTGGCCCCCTGGTATGTCAATCATGCTCCAGTGATTGGTCCCATACCCTGGAGTATATGGGTAGCACAAATTTGACTTGATGAGTTATTTAAAAGAAATAAAAATATGACAGAACGTTGGGGCAGGTAGGAAGGTGGGGTGGATCTGGGAGGAGTTAGGGATATGAGTGGGGGTGAATATGATCAAAATATATTGTACAGCATTATCAAAAATTAATAAAAATATTAAAAACATGAAGGGGTATGTTATGCCTCACTTCTAAGCTTAACCACTAGCTTCTTTGCACAGTTCTTGGCTCTCTTTTGAAAACACATGATCCACATGTGTAGCAGAAGCATTTGAGAATCACAAGTTACTCACTGGGTAAGAATTGCCAAGATTTGAGCTGAGCTGAAAAAAACAAAACAAACAAACAAAAAAAACAAGTTGCCAGATGCCAAAGTAGCCAAGTAAGGCCCTGGAAGCCAACACTGAAGTTCAGAGTTACGCCTTTAATGATGTACTAGGCTGCAAAGGAAGAGCTAAGGAAAGAAGGAGCCACCTCTCTTCTGTTTCATTGTCTTTCCCATGGCTCAGGCAAGTCAACAATCAGAAGAATCAAGCCAGGGGCTGACAAGATGTCTCAGTAGGTAAAGGTGCTTGCTACAAAAGCCTGGTGTCCAGAGTTCAATGCCCAGAATACATGTGTAAGGGGAAGGAGAGAACTGGCCTCACAAAGTTGTCCTCTGACTTATACATTCATGCTGTGACATGTGCAGCCCCTCCACACATAAACACATACAAAATAATTTTTAAAGTCAGCTTATGGGATCAGCTCATTCCTGAGGGAGCCCTGGGGTCAGGCTACTGTGGTTTTATGAAGCCTGGAGCAATGGGGAAGAGGGGAGAAGGAGACTGGGAGTGGGAACATCCTAAGTCAGTACTGCATCAGAGAGGAGAAAACCCAGGATTTCTCCTTTCGTCTCCCAGTAAAGAGGTTTTAGCATGGGAAGGCATCTGCTGAAGGTCCCTGTAAACAGGCATCCAAAAGGAGGCACCTGATTCAGGACTGCAGCTATATTTGGGAACATGGCAGCCAGGTGGCCAAGTTCCCAAGAGCAGCTTTCAGTGCACTGACTGCCTCTATTATGTGGTACATAGCAGTCTATGTAGCCCTTTAATAAAGGAATAGCTGCTCTCATACTTTGGATTACAGCTAGTGTTCCTTAATGGCAGGTGTTTTAGAACCTGCCTGGCACACAGTCCCTTAGTCTTTTCTTACTAAATGTCTGGAGCCACTTAATTCCTTCTGGAAGTTTCAGAAATCTCTGAGGGCAGTTTTGGGCCTATAAGGGTGAATTAAAAGATTTAAGGTATTCAGCACCATATTGTCCAGTCTCTTCATTTACCCTTCATCTAGACTTACATGTCAAAAATTCAATACCAAGTCACCAAAGCTCCTGCACTCTAGCCCTGGCAATCAGATATCTGCCTAATTCCCCATGCCTATGCCCGACTTGAATAAGATAGACAGAGCTGCGTTCTTTGAAAGCTACAGTTGTCTTGCTCTTGTTCTTTCCTGGCTCTAAACCCTAAGTACTTATTAGTACCTAACTCTCAACAGACACAATTTCATGCTAATTAGAATTCCAAACTATGAGCTTGGCACTACTATAGTGCTGTCCCCTCTGCTTGGAATCATATGCTATTTTGTAGTTGAAGGCAGGTCTCTGCTTAATCCGCAATGATTGCTTATTTCTTGGCTTCGACAACAGACACCATATCCCTGCCTGTCGATGCCCTGCCTACTGTCCACCGATGCATCTCCCCAGTACTAGGTTCTGGTAGTGCTTTCTGTCTCCAGTCTGCTTTTTATGATCTGCCTAGCTGACTGCCTATTTGCCTGGATATTTTGTTGTAGATGGGGAGATATACTGCCTTCTGAATTCCCTCAGATCCCAGCCACTACAGCAGTCACAGTTCTGTGATTCTAGATCATAGCTAGAACACAAAAGTAATCAAAGTTTATTTTAGTATGTGAGAAAGCAACACACAAGTGGTCCAGACCAGGCCACAAAGGCGAAGGCCACCTCCAGTATGTTCATTTGTTTCTTAGCCTATCATTTCTCCTCCCCTTGCCCAAGCCTGGGCTATGCTAGGTTGGTGTCCTTCCTGGAATAGGCAGAGGCTTTCTCAGAATCTATCCTTACCCACAATTCAGTTTGTTACCATTAGACCCATTAGATGCAAAATATGTATAAAGGCATAGCTACCCACGTATTGGGAAGTTTACCAGAAGGAAGGAAAAGGAGGCCTTGGCTGTGCTCCTCAGGGAGTCAGGCGGGCTTCATGGGAGTCAGCTAGAGCCTGCCTAGATTTCCCTTGTTTTCCCAGATCCCTGTCCTTCCTCTTTTCTGGTCAGATTAGATGTTACTCAGTAGCAAGCTCTCTTACTTGCCCTCCTCAATGTTGCTAACCTCGTCATTTTAATCCTAACATTTATTAAATTCACACTTGTTTTCACCACAACACTTTTAGTATCATTTGCTGATGGTCTTCCTAATCAAGGAGATGCGCTCTTTACAGGTCCTAATCATTTCTAATCCTCCACAGTATTTTCAGCCCTACTGATTGGCACTTGCCATTCCGAAGGAGAAAAAATAGATTGTAGCTCAAATTTTCTCTTGAACATCATACAATCAACATTGCAGGGGCTGGAAAGATGGCTTAGTGGTTAATAATATTTGTAGCTCCTGCAGAGGACCCAGATTCAGTTCCCAGCACCAACATGGTAGTTAACAATTGTCCATAACTCCAGTTCCAGGGGATCTGATGGCCTCTTCTGGCCTCTGTAGGCATTGCGTACACATGGCCCAATTGCACATGTGCAGGCAAAACAGTCATACACATAAAATAAAAATAAATGAAATTAAATTTTAAAAACTCATTGTGTTCTTGGAGAATTTCAAACAAAAAGGATGTCTTGAAAGTTGTAAATACTGTTCTTAAAAGACCATGACAGAAAGAAGTGGCCTACCTTGCCTTCAGAGACTTTAGATTGTCCTCCAGTCCACAGGTCAGCTCAGGCTCTGAGATCAGGAGTATATCACTGATAACTGCATCATCTCTCTTATAGGATAGGAAGCATTTGAGTCTTGTTGTGTTATTTGTCTTACAACAATCAGCGAATGCATATTTGTCAATCATTCCTTGGTTGTTGCAAATATACTTGAAGAAATTACTTATCTGTGGAAGGAAATGGCAATTTAAAGGGGACACATATGTGAATGACTTTCTTACCAAGGAAAGCTAAGAAACTCGCTGCGTGGTGCTGAACTTTGAATCCAGTCATGTGTGTGTGTGTGTGTGTGTGTGTGTGTGTGTGAGAGAGAGAGAGAGAGAGAGAGAGAGAGAGAGAGTGTGTTGATGTACATGCAGGTGTGTGTACATGTATTTAGGTCAACGTTGGGGGGGTTCTCAGTCACTCTCCATCTTATTTCTGAGACAATATCTTTCATTGAACCTGCAGCTCACTAATTAAGTTAGACTGGCTGGCCAGCAAGCTCAGGGCATCTGCCTAGTGCTGGGTTATAGAAACATGCTGCTGTGCATGCCATGGGTGCTGTGATCTGAACTCAAGCCCTCATACTTGCGCAGCAAGCCCTTTACCAACTGAGCTATCTCCTCAACACCCAGGCATAAATCCTTTGAGTGAAAATCTTTATGTTTTAAATTTTTTTACATTCATTTATTTATTGTGTATGGGGGAGTATGCCACCGAACTCGCATGGAGGTCAGAAAACAGCTTCAACGAATGGGCTCTTTCTCGCCTTCCAGTATGTGGGTCCTAGATTTCCAAGTCACGTTGTTGGGCTTGACGGCAAGTGCCTTTACTTACTGAGCCATTTTTCTGGCCCCTTTTAGGGTTCTTAATCTAAATTCAGACATGCTGACATGCATAGAATTCATCATTTTCCCTTCTCTTTCTTGTACAATTGCTTTATATTCAAGAAATTGAGATTTTGGCTTTTTTATTTATTCATTTTAATTTTATGTGTATGAGTATTTTGTCTGCATGTATGGAAGTGCACCTGTGCACGCAATGTGGGTAGTGGCCAGAAGATGGCATTGGATTCCCTAAAACTAGAGCTGTGGACAGTCGTTAGCCTCCATGTGGGGGCTAAAAACTGAACCCAGGGCCTCACAAAAGCAACCATTGCTTTTAACCACTGAGCCATCTCTCCAGCCCCAAGATGTTATTTTTTGAATAATGAAACATAATTCAGAATTTTCAGGGCAAGATATTTTTTAATGCCAATTCTCCACCAAAAAGGAACTACTCATTTGCTTTTCTTATTTCCATTTTTAGTTTTGTTTCCATGGGAATATATTTTAAGAATTTAACTTTGAGCCAATGTGTGTTCACTGCCAGCTAGCCAATTGGAAATGTAATGATTCAATGTTTTCAAATACTTTTAGGTGATAATAAATGTGTGGGGTTTGGTGAACCCCAACTGGCTTATGTGTTTCAAACTTGAAGGATAAATGTAGAAAAATTCATCTTTTGAAGTGGAAATAGGAATCACAATAAAATGTGTCTAGCCACTACTTAACCTTCGTTTTAAATGTGAACAGATAACATCTCAGAGTCTACACACGACAGGCAGGCATTAGCCTCAAGAGATGAGGCAAAAAAAAAAAAAAAAAACTTCCACAAAGAAAGGAGAAAAGTTATTCATTTATATGTTTAATTATTTAGGATGAAAATAACTGATTCAAAGAGCATGGTTTTTCAGCAGGGGATGAGGGGGTTCCATGGGTAAAGATACCTGTTGCCAAGTCTGATGTTCTGAGTTCAGTCCGTGGGTCCACATGGTGAAAGGAGAGAACCAACTCCCACAAGTTGTCCTTTGACCTTTGTGAGTGTGTCATTCAAAACTAAAAGCACAAATTCCCTAGGGGAATTCTTATTTTCATGAAATTTGCTAATCACGAGGCAAAGTTTTACAATGAAGCAATTATAATTCCCATTATTTTCTACTGACTAAAAAAAGAATACATGATATTTGTTTCTTTTTTCATATTCTCAAAGAAACTTTTTAAAACTTAGTACCTCAACTTCCCAAAGTTCTCTGTAGGAGTGTGTCAGATAATATTCTGGTGACGCAGGGAGAGGGGTCAACATAGATCAGCACATTGGTATCCATGGTAACAATTTATTCTTGCATGTTTAGCCCTCAGAGACTGGTCTCCAGAGATAAACTGATTAAATAGAGGTTTACAAGCCTACAAAAATTATAATTGAGGTTTGATTCATATAAATATGCTTGCCTTACAGTGTCCTACAGAATTATTCAGTTAGTCCCCTGCATAATGACATCTTTTGTTTATAATATAACTTGGAAAGGAGAATACAGCAATGTACAATTCACCTACCAATTGATGAGTACATTCTGAAGGTAACTCATGTGGTTTGAGATGCTTACACCTTTCTGAAAGGTCTAGTATCTCTTTAACTACAGTTTTCACTTCTTCATAAGTTGCTTTCTGAAGAAACTGAGCAACCATAATGCTGGTGCTGAAACATAAATTTGTATGTTGAATTTTAATTCCCTTCTTCCCTTGTTATCATTGCTGCCCTATTCATCCCAAAATGATTTATTTTCAAATTCCAAACAAAAGAATACTGATTACAAAACTCACGTGTCTCTTAAGCGCTCCTCTGGATGATTCTGGCTATTCATATGCTGCATAGCTGGAAAAAAAAAGTTTTATTTGCTGCTGTGATCTGGATGTTTGCATCTCCCTGACATTCATATATTTAAACCCTAACCTACCAGGCATTAAAAAGTGAGAACTTGTATTAGTCAAAAGGTGGAGCCCTCATCAGTGGAGTTAGTGCCCTTCTAAAAGAGGCCCACAAGAACTCATTTATCCCTTCTACCATACAAAAAACAGCAAGATAACATTTATGGACCAGAAAATAGATTCTTACAAGGCACCAAATATGAGAACTCTCACCAGATACCAAGTCTGCTGATATCTTGATCTTGGACTTTCAGCCTCCAGTCCTATGAGAAATAAACTTCTTATGCACATAATCTTCCCACCTTATGGTATTTTGGTACAGTAGCTTAAATGGACTAAGACATTTGCAAAAGAGGAAATTTCCCAGACCAACATCCCCCTTTAAACTCTGCAGTCTATGTTTATGCATTCACGACTTTTTAAGTTTACTTCCATTTGCCCTAATAATAGGAGCTATTCATATAGAATATGACTTCTCTTGAATTTAATATATGAATGATTTTTAAAAATATTTGAACATGTGTGCAGCTGAAATCTATCATTGGTTTACAAGTAAACTGCATGCAGTTGTGTTTAAAGTTCTGAATTAACGACTGGGGAGATGGTTCAGTTGGTAAAGCGCTTGGATCGAGTTCAGTCCTCAGAACCCACTTTTTAAAAAAGCCAGGCATGGTGATGCAAGCTAGTGCTGGGGAGGTAGAGACAAGCAAATCTTTGGGCTTACTGACCAGCTAGCCTAGTCTAATTTGGTGAGCTCCAGGCCAGTGAGAAACTCTGTCTCAAAAACCAAGGTGGGCGGCATCTAAGCCACACACCCGAGGTTGTCCTTTGGACTCCGCATGCACACACACATATCATCACGGAGAGAGAGAGAGAGAGAGAGAGAGAGAGAGAGAGAGAGAGAATGTTTTGAATTAGTTAAACTTGGTTACTTAACTTTTACTCTTTCATTAAAAGCTATTAGCACAATCAAAAGTAAATGTTAGCACTGGGAATAAAATCCCAAACACTGACACTCTGCCTGGCTTGCTGGTCACCTCCTCTTCATCTACACACTCACCACATTCACATGCAGGTGTTCTCCATGAAAGCAGTATCTTCCTTCCTATACTAACAGCTTCTAAAAATCTTAAAGGCGCTCCATTAAATAAGTAAACTATCATTAACAATTACTATTGATAAGCAAAATAAGGGTTTTAGAGACAGCTCTTCAGAGTTCAGTTTCTATTTATGAAAAATAGAGGGGAAAAAAACCCATTTGGATTTATTACAAAATGAAATTTTACTACATTGGGAGGGTATTAAACTTAAATGAGGGCCTGCAGAGACAGCTCAGTTGGTAAAGTGCATGTTGTACAAGCTTTGAAACCCAAATTTGGATCCCAAGCACCTCTTAAAAAATACAGCTCATCTGTTACTCCAGTGATGGGAGACAGGCATAGAAGGATGCTGAAGCTTGCTGGCCAGCCAGTCTAACCAATCAGTGACCTCAAGTTTCAGTGAAAGACTGAAAAAATTAAGATGGTTCAATGGGGGATCACAAAAAATTGAAGTGAAGAAGCAATTGCAAAAGACACCCAATGTCAACCTCCAGACTACACACGCATGCACATGCACCCACACACATGCGTCTGTAGAGGTACACCTGCACACAGGATTAAATAAAGACATTCAATGGAGTCTTGAGCACAGTGCATGATAATGAAGGGCACTATGAATAATGCAGCTTGTATGACTGTTCCTGCAGGCATTCACACTCTTGCTCTATCTGAAGTCACTTAACCAATTTCAGACACCGGCTTGAATGTAGCATTCTTTCATCTAAAGTGGAAACAAGAAGGAAGGGTAACGTGAGATATGCCTGGATGAGAGGTCTCAATGTTAACTCTGTGCTCATTCTACACATGCCATTCTCCCAATGTTCAATGACTCTTTTTTGACAGTGATGACAGCTGAGAAAGATAAGCCTTTCCACAGTCATTATGCATGCTCACCATACGCTTACACATGGGATTCACAGACTGTAGCCAGGATTTCCTACCTGCATGGAGCAAGCTTGTCTGAAGAGTCTGACATTTAATGTAGCTGAAGAAAACAAGAAGAGACAGAGACTTAACAGTCTTCATTGTTTCAGATAGATTTTTATGGAAGTTCCCCCACTTGAGAGAAATGAAGTCTTCACTTATATTCTTTTCAAGCAATTATGATTAACAATTAACTTTCCTGGTGAATATTTTTTCTAAGGCTAAATGGATCCTTATAAAAATGAGAAAATTAATGACAAGGAAGAAATTCTGGTGTTCATTAACGAATACCGGATTTTAAGACAAATAATTCAGATCCCATTATTTATTCAAGATTACAACACAAGGGCCTTGCAATAAAAATTGATAAACACGTCTGGTAAATACTAGTCTACAATATCGCATTTCATAGAAAAGCTTGTTGACATGTGCAAAGTTCTAAAGTGGCAAAGCAGAAGGTAAACATGTACTACCCCGGGTCAGACAAATGGTCAGGACTCAGGTGTCAATAGGCACATTTCCAAGTCCCTGGAGAGAGGAGGAGGGGTAGGCACAGGACTGGAGGCAAATGCAAAAGAATGGCACCTACCGCCAAGTGCTGACTGTCCATCTGACTGTCATATGGCTGGCAAGCACACAACACTGTCATTGCCAGAGCAGGATCTGAGACGCGGGCTCTTTTCATTTGCCCATGGACCCAGATAAAACTTCGGGTCTATCTTCGAGTCCACACCACACAAGCTGGCATTCACACTGCCTGGTGTTCCTCAGCTTTGCCTGCTGTGCTATTCATCAAGTTCTTGGAACTAGAGCAGAAAATAGGTCATTGATGACTAAAGAGAAGGGGTAGATCCACGTGAAATGAAGAATGTTGGAAATAGGAGATCACTGGTTACTATGTACCATTCCTACCCTCAGTTATCTGACTTACAAATGACACACTTTGGTCCAGAATATTGGTAAGGTTTACAGTCCGTTACTTGATTCTGCTCCCGAATGGTCTCATTTCTGGCTTCCTAAACAAGAAGTGCATGTACTTGTATGTGTATATATACAGGTCGCAAATTTTATATTTATATATATAACCAATTTACATATATGTAAAACATTATATATATATCTGTATCCTAAAATAACCCTAAATTCATTATCATTTAGATTTGGGACATATCAGTTTAAGAATATGAGTGACCTGGTGAAACAGAAAGCTAGGGTTAACATGAAGAAGGCTGCTTTTGGCCAGTTACCACTAGCCTTTTGGGGTCCTCTAAATAGTCCTATAGTGCTCAGTATCTCTTTTTAATTTGTTTGATTGGTTGGTTGGTTTTGGTTTTGGAGACAAGTTCTCACTATTTAGCTCAGGCTGTCCTAAAAAATGTGATCCTCCTGCCTCAACCTTCCAAGTGCTGGGATTATAGGTATGCAACACCACACCAGGCTCACCATAGCTTTTGCGATGCATTCTTGGAGCTGTTTCCTCCTAACCCTACTCTATACCTCTTGGAATTATCAGATATGGATCTGATACACTAGCTCCAATGGCATGGATGAATGCTGCCTGACTACCTCCCACCGAAGACATTGCTAACTGCTCACTATGCTCTAACCCTGAGCCAAGCTCAGCCTTAGTGTTACTCATAGCACAGCCACTATCAGTAGATTGGAGTTGGCACTGGAAAAAACTGGTATGTGTTGTTAAACCAATTCTTTCTTTAAAAAACTATCCAGTTGGGGAGATGGCTCGGTGGTTAAGAGCACTTACTGCTCTTCCTTGGGATCAGGGTACAATATCCAGCACCCACATGGCAGTTAACATTCTCTGTGGTCCTTAGCTCCAATTCCAGGGAATCTGACACCCTCTTCTGGCCTGCCTGGATACACACACAGACACACACACACACACACACACACACACACAAACACACACTATACTTATATACACACAGATAAAACACTCATACATTTTTAAAAAATAACCCAAAGTTATGTCTCCAGGAAAGCTAACTATGGTGCCCTTGATGCCCCAGTCCCTCCCCCAGGGGCAAGAGCAGGATGTGGAAGCACTCTTCCCAGATAGGGATTCTCATGGTTCTGAACTCCAGAGAATGAGGCAGGTTCAGCTGGTGTGCAAAAGATACTGGCAAGAAAATGAATCATAATTGCTTAATTTTGTGTGTATGTGTGTGTTCGTGTGTGTGTACAGGAGCACATGTGTATGCATATACAGGTGCATATGGGTGTACATGCGTGTGGAAGCTGGAGGTCAACCTCAGGTGTTGTTCTTTGGAATATGTCTACTTGTTCTTTAAGACAGGGTCTCTCATTGGCCTGGATATCACCAACTATGCTAGGCTGGCTGGCCCCAGAGCCCCAGGGATCTACCTGTCTCTGTCCCACTTTCCCAGTGTTGGGATTACAAGTGTATGTCGCCATGCCTGGTCAGGCATGGTGGTGCACACCTTTAATCCCAGTACTCGGGAGGCAGAGGCAGGCAGATCTCTGTGAGTTCAAGGCCAGCCTGGTCTACATATTGAGTTCCAGGCCAGCTGGGGCTACAGGAAGACCCTGTCTCAAAAAGAGCCCCCAAATTTTTTTTAATAATGATTTTTAAAAAGGTTGGTAAGCCATGCCTGGAATTTTACACTGTGCTGGGGATCAAGCTCTGGTCTTCATGATTGTGCAGCAAGCGCTTTATCAATTATACTATCTCCCCAGCCCTATGATTAATTCTTTGATCAGGTTGACAGAGGACATCAGTCTGAGAAATAGCTTTATACTCTTGTTTTATTGCTTGTTGTAGTGACATGATTTCAGTAAAGGCTACAGAAGAGCCCTTCTACTTCATTCTTCTTAGGAGATGAAATTCACCACAGCAAGGCAGTACTGGCTGAAAAGAAAAAATATCATTTTATTCATCAAAAGAATCTAAAATGTTTTAAATCAGTCATATATTTTGTGAAATGGGACTAGTGGCAGCTATGAACTGCATATGGAATTGCAAATCTGCCCCTTGCTGATGTCCAGGCTAAAGAGAAGTCTCAAAAAACCCTCAACTGTAAAGCTATTCCCGTTCTGCAAATGAGTCTTCCCACCAAAAGAGGCTCTTATCAGATGAATGCTTCTAAGCTCTTCAGGAGACATTCTGTCCCTATCCTACCCCGTGACTCTATTTCTACATACAAACATACCTAAACTCTCTTGTCACTTGACCTACGTGGCTGCTACTGATTCCCACCAGTGAGCTAGCTGCCTCTCATTGACTATAATAAAGCTCAATCTAGATTGTCAAGGTTGGTTGCTCATCTTTTCTACCTATGACTTATTCCTAATATTTTGGTGCTGAAAACCAGAAGGATCTTCTGAACAAATCCTCTCTCTTAAACCCCTTCTCCTCTCCCTCTTTCCTTCCCCCCATTAGACTTTGATCGTCCCCAAGCCTATTTAAGCTAAATAGCACCAGTGCGTGACCTGGAGACCTCATCCCACCTGGGGCCACAGTTTCTCCCAGCCTCATTGCCACATAGGAGGAGAAGGCCTTTGTCCTGAAGGTCATGTGGACTGCTTCAAGGAATCTAAAGCTTCTTGTATCCTTTCCCTCTCTCCCACCACCCTTTGAGAGAAAGAGAGAGAGAGAGAGAGAGAGAGAAAGACTCTTTACCATTTGCTGCAAGCCGCATCCTGCACTTTTTTCAAACCAGATGATAAAAGATAGCCCAGTGGCCTCAGGAAAAAAAAAATCTCTCAAAGCCTGGGCCTTACCTAACTAAAACCTAAATGCTTGATCCGCTTGTGCACCCAAATTTGGCCTAAATATTAACTCAATAACAGAAATATTTTACCTGAATTCAGAATTTTCAATAATCACCATTTTACAGACTTAGATAGCCTTTATACAGACTCAAAATACACCTACAACAGTCTCCATTCTAACTTTCTGATATGGAGAGAAAAGAGTTCCTCACCCAGAAGGAAACCCCCACAGTCAGTGGCCAGTTTATTCATGACCTGTTGAAAGCTGCCCAATTACCAACAAGGGCAGTGATTATTCACTATAGAGGGCATCAAAAGAATGGAAAATATATCTCCACAGCCAATAATGAGACCAACCACCTGGCTAAGGGAACACGCAGAGCTACCAGGTTCCCCAGCATCTGTTCAACCTCGCCCCTGCAAGGACCACAGTCACAAAACCTTCTCTCATGTCCACTATTCCTTCCTACCTTCACTCCCTTTTCCACCTAGATAATACTTCCCTCTTCTCCTTTCTAAACACACAATTCCAGCTGACCCCACAGGACAAACAATTCTTGTGGGAACTCACTGTCTCCTGCCAGGTCTCTCAGGAGATTCAACCCCAATGCTACCGCCAGCCCCCACCCACCCTATTCATTAGGCTAGAGAGCACCTTCCAGGCACCGAATGGCAAATCGATTTCACCCACATAACCCCCCTAAAAAGGCATAAACTTCTCTTTGTTCTTGTAGATGCCTTCACTGGCTGGGTTCAAGCATGCCCCATAACCAGTAAGAGGACATCCAGATTCTTCCCTTCTCATCCAAGATATTATTCCCTGTTTCGACTTACCCACCTCCCTACAGTCCAACAATAGTCTGAAGTTTGTCTCTAATGCCAACTTAACTTTCTGAGACAGAATCTTACTCTATCATCCTGGCTGCCCTGAAACTCACTGAGTATACCAGGATGGCCTCAAACTTGTATCAATCTAAGGCCGGGCATGGTGGTTTGCACCTTTAATCCCAGCACTCAGGAGGCAAAGGCAGGCAGATGTTTGTGAGTTCAAGGCCACACTGGTCTACACAGCAAGTTCCAGGCCAGCTGGGCTACAGGGAGACCCTGTCTCAAATAGACCAAAAATAATAATAATAATAATAATAATAACTTGTATCAATCCTACTACCTCAGCCTCCCAAACGCTGGGATTACAGGTATGTCCCACCATGCCTCATTTACCTACCTACTTTGTACCAACATTCAGAGATTCCATTGTCTATTTTTTTCTCACTCAAAAAAATAAAGGCAGAGAAGTAGATGCCTTTGGGGGGTTCAGAAACTGAACACTCCTGTCCCAACACAGCACTGCTACCCAACATATGGTGACTGGCATCTGAAGAAGCACGAGAGGACCTATACCAGGCTCTGTGAGCTCCAAGGTGCAGAGGATTAGTCAGAAACAGGTATTTGGAGTGCAAGAAGAAAAAGAGCCAGGGAAGCTAAGTAGTCACGTGGAGCTTTTGACATTTGAGTGACAGAGAAAGGATTACCTCTGGTGTTTTAACTTTGTTTCTCAAGCAGCTTGACTTTAGTTATCCATTTTTGAACGCTTAGAGAAAAAACAGAAATAAAAACATAGAAAAATATTGCTAATATTTAAATGTAAGGAAGCATGTTATTCCAAACTTTGAATGAAACTATAAATCACTTCTGTAATGTGTATATAGAGGTCATTGGTTTCTCAAGTAAACTTCAGACACACTGAAGTCTTTTTATGCACTAAAAAAAAAATCTATCCCCCCCTTTTACATAATCCTTAAGGACACACTCAGGTAAATGCTAGACAGTGATTAATGTCTTCTAGTTAACGTAACTATATTTTAACAAACTAATAATTTTTATCCTAATATTTCCATAGACTAAAAAGTCACTCAGAAAAGTAGAGGACTCCCAAGCCAAATGAAAGACACGTGTGTCTGTGAGTCTGCATGGGGTTCATGAGCGTGTACCAGCTGTGAAAGACTTACATGCTGCTGGGAAAGAAATAATGAGGAAGGAAATTGGAGAACGCTCGTCAAGCCCTCCACAGAGCCATCCATTGGGGATGACAGTCACAGGTAATGGATCATACCACAGCAAATTGCAACAGACTCTACAGCCACTGTCTCTGCTCCGTTACCTTCCATTCCCTTATATACTGTCACCTGAGTGATCTTGGGAAGGTCCAGGGAGATGGAACAGCCACCACTAAACCCTTCCCTTCCTTATACCCTTCCTGCTCTCCTCCCTTTGCAGCTGACTATGATTTCCTTGACAAGTCACCTTGACCCCATTTTATTAAAATGATCAATGATTCAGGATAGAGAAGTAAGGTATAATTTGAACGTAGTTATCACCATCCTTATCTACAGATGATGAACTTCAATTTCATTTAAATTACATGGCCAAGGCTATAAGGTTTAGAACCCAGATTTGTCCAACAGCTTTCTTATAAAATGTTATCACAGCAGAGACTGTCCAAAGCTTCTATCAGGAATATTTAACTTTGTGGCAATTGTGCTCTCAAACAGGGGACTCTTGAACTCAGCAGAGAGGAGCAGGTCCTAAAGGGACTTGTATTGTATTGTATTGTATTGTATTGTATTGTATTGTATTGTATTATCGTATTTGTTGTGTTGTGCTATATTGTATTGTGTTGTATATTACCAGGAACACCAGCTGAATCTCAATGAAAAACAATGCAACTACCTCTTTACTTAAACAGGCTTCAGGCTCCTGGGCTTCACAGCACTTCTCCCCTGCAGCCGTAAAACTTGTGAACAAAGACAGAAGCTCCTCATCTGTCAGTTCAGGCTTCCACCTCACTAAGTCGACAAGAAACCTATGCTCAAAGACACCCAACAGAATCAGTTAATGATTCTCCAGAATGTTTGTTACAGAACCACATCTTGGGTTTTAAATTGAGTGTGTATAAAAAGTTTACATATTCCATTTTTGCAATGGTCTTCTGAAACTTTCTGTGAAAGTCAGATGAGTTTTTGAGGGCTATATAATCACAGACCAAAATAGTCCGTATTATTCACAACATTGTAGAAATTATTAGATCTTTCTAGGAAATTCATGTACAATATCAATCCCCCTTCATCAGTAGCCAAATACTATACTTGGTACAAAGTGTCTAAATCCAAAACATAGGCTTTTTCTTGGCAATTAAAGCATTACTTGAGAGAATGAAAGTAAAATTCCCACCCCTTTTGGGTCTCTCCTATTTTGACATATTGAGACTCTCAAGACAAATATCTTTATAATCTGGGCCAGAGAGATGACTCAGAGGGTAAAGCCACCTGCCACCAAGCCTGAGGATCTGAGTTCAATCTCTGAGACCCATATGAGGGAAGAAAAGAACTGACTCCCACAAGTTGTCCTCTGACCTCCAAATGCACACCAGGGCACACCTGCATGCCCCCAAATAAATGTAACAATGTAAAAAATTTTTCCATTTTAAAATTTTATATGTGTGTTTTTATGTGTGTACCACATGCATGCAGTGTCCAAGAAGGTCAGAAGAGGGCATCAGATGAAGGCTGTGGTGGTATGCACCTTTAATCCCAGTCCTTGGGAAGCAGAGGCAAGCAGATCTCTAAGATCGAGGCCAACCTGGTCCACATAGTGACTTCCAGGCAAGCTGGGACTAGGGAGACCCTGTCAAAAAACAAAAACAAAAATACAAAATAACAAAACAAACCAAAAAGAAGGAGGATGAGGGGGGAGGAGGAGGA